CATTGGGTTTGCCTTGGTGTTGTTAGAGGAGTGAAACCTTTTATTCATCTGACAAATGATGGTATCATGACTCGTAGTCATCCCCTATATGTGTAATCAGACTGTGGTGCTCTCAGTTGCCTTGAGTTGCTTACAACAGAATGAGATGTTGTCCAATCCCGCGCTACTTCACTGATGATCTGTATGTTTAAATCCATTGCTGTGCATATTTTGCCGTGTCTTCCGACCTCACAGGCTCATCTTCCATCATTCTATTGTGAATCAGGGTTGGGATTAGCCAATATCTAGAAGTAGATCACCAGACTTTTCTTCCTAGTCTTTCTTAGTCTGGAAGCTCTGCTGATATGTGTCCTCCTTGGGTAAACCTGCTGGTATTTGGAGTATCAATGGCATAGCTTCCAGCATCAGAGCAATATGCATATCACCAAAGTGCCACACTCTGGCAACCAGGTGGTGCCTAGTTGTATGAGTGGCAGGGCAAGCACATGTCCTGCTCTGTAGGGACTCTGTTAATATACTGACCTTCAGCTACTATTTGGAAGTGGTGAAGTTGATTGTCTACTCATGCATTCATTCATTGGTTTGGTTTAGGCTCTCATTATCCACTCCCTCGTGCATTCAGTGAGCCCATGAGTCACAGAGCAGACCCTTGTCATTTGCCTACCATGACTCAGCTGCTGTGTCCTGTACTGGCCAAGTCAGATCCCTGCTTTGAGCCTTTGGTGGCTGCTCAGAGCTGTTGGGAGGAAGTTCACTCTCTCCCTCTGCACAGAGTCTTCGTCATCCAGCCCCTGACTACATCTGATGTCCACTCTCCTGTCTGTTCTCCATAAAGACATTTTCTGCCAGTGACACCAAAACCCACACCTCCTCTCCTGATCCAAAACATTCTTTCACATCTCTGTATCTTTGCTTTTTGATTACCGGCACATGAACTCTATCTCCTTCAGCTCTTTCCTTAGACCCCCTCTCATTTCACACTTCTCCTCCGGGTAGCCTTGTCTTCTCAACCCTCCAGTTGCACCTCTTGTCCCTGTTCCAGATCAGCACGTACGAATCGGCATTATTATTGTTAGGTACCATCCAGTGGATTCTGACTCCTCGACACCCATAGGGTGTCCAATGCTGCCATCTTTGCAGAAACACATGGCAACATCTTTTGCCCATGAAGCAGCTGGTGGCTTCAAACCACCAAACTTTCAATTAACAGTCTAGTGCTTAATCATTGCATCACCAGGGAACCTTCCTGTCTGTGTTCAGTTGTCTTTCTTTCCTTCTCTCTGTCTTCCAATAAACTGAGAACTATGTGTGATTTAGAGAATTGGGTTAAGTTCTAGAACATAGTGTTTGCTCAATAAAGATAAATTCCAAAGTCCATGGGATCTTCTCCTTTTTGTTTTCTTTCCTACCACTATCTATCTGGTTGAATCAGGCTCACTGCAACCCTCTAGGACAAAGTAGAGCTGCTCCGTAGAGTTTCTGAGACTGTAAATCTTTCGGGAAGCAGACTGCCTCACGTGTCCCCACAGTGTGGTTGGTAAGTTCGGATGCTTCAGCAACAACCCCATTCTGAGCCTACTACACCACCATGCCTCCTCATGTTTCCTAAGAGGGATTTTTACTCTTCTTGACAATTTAGTAAATCACCCCCACTCCTAAAATACTCATTACCTTCCATGTGTTGAATATGTGTTGTTGTTTTTGTGTAACTTTCTGTTGATTTCAACTCATAGAGATCCTATGGGACAGATGAGGGTTTTATAGGTTATAGTCTCTGCAAAGACGTCAGCTTGAGGACTAAGGTGTGCCTGACCCAAACCATGGTATTTTCAATAACCTCATATGCATGCGAAAGCTGGACAGTGAATAAGGAAGATTGTAGAAGAATTGATGCTTTTGAGTTATGGTGTTGGAGGAGAATCTTGAAAGTGCCATGGGCTGCCAAAAGAACCAACACATCTGTGTTGGAAGAAGTGTAGCCAGACTGGCCAGGATGGCCAAACTTTGTCTCTCATACTTCACACATATTGTCAGGAGGGACCAGTCGCTGGAGAAGGATATCATGTTTCGTAAGGTGGAGGGTCAGAGAAAAAGAGGAAGACCCCCACCCAGTGAGATGAATTGGCAAAATGGCAACACCCATGAGCTCAAGCGTGGCAACAATTCTGAGGCTGGCCCAGGACCGGGCAGTGTTTTATTCTGTTGTGCATAAGGTCGCTATGAGTCGGTACTGACTCTATGGCACCTAACAACAACAACAGTCTCTGCAGATCACCAAGTCTCTCACAGAGCTGCTGCATAGGTTAGAACCAAAACTGTTTCCATTAGCAACCAAACGCTTTGTCATTGGGTCACAAGGGCATCTTTATTGAATAGATTTTATGTGCCAAGAATCCTGCCAACTTGACATACATTATAGCATTTCATCTTCACAAAACCTTTTAAGGTATATTCTGTATTTATTCCCTGGTTTTCATATAAAACTATCAGCATCCTCCCTCCTATGAAATCCAACAGCCTAGAACAATAGAGTTGCCAGTCATTGGGGGTTCTTTACTTCAAAGTACAAGCCAGCGTGTGCTGGGGGAAGGGAGGTGGATGCAAATGAAATCTGCCAATAAATACAAGGGCTGATGAGAAAGGCACTAATTATGCCCATGTTATTTGGGTGTTTCTTTTATATTTCAATTTGTATGATCGTCTCTTCTATGGCTTTATTATTTTACACCTGGCTGCTCGTGTTGATGGTTTTCATTCCAGTTATTTGCTTATAAATTGCTTATAAATAGGCGAGGAAGATTCCTTCTTCATAAATTTGATGGGTTTCAGGCAGGCTGTCTTTCTTGGCTTCAGAGAAGCAGGGATCTCAGGGAAGTGGTATCCTCTGCCACCTAGTGGCTGGACATGCTAATTGCAGGGAAAGTATCTAGACAATAAGGCACCAATGAGCCTAGTGTCCTGATGTGACACTGTGGGTTAATGTGTTAGACCGCAAGGTCATTGTTTCAAGCTTTCCTGCTCCTCGGAAACCAGATACAGGGACCTTATGAGTCAGAACCGACTCGATGGCACTTAACAACAACAACAATGGTCTATGAAAACAGAAAGTGAAAGAATGACAATGGTTGTGGTAGTTTTTCTTCTAGACCAGGGGCAGGGAACCTTTTTTCTGCACAAATTTATAACGTCATTCATGGACCATACAAAATTATCAACTTAAAAATGAACCCGCTATATGTGGTCAAACAGAGTCCTGGTATGGCGCTGTGGGTTAATGCACTAGATTGCAAAGTTGGTTTCATCCACAAGGTCAGTGGTTCAAGCCCACAAGTTGCTCCTCAGAAACCCTATACAGGGTCGCTGTGAGTTAGAACCAACTTCACAGAACTTTACAACAACAGTGTGACAGCTGTGACTTTGGTTGCCTTGGCGGGGTCAGACCAAATGTTTTTGCTGACCTTTTAAAAGCCCACAGATTGGATGTTCCCACCCCTGTTCTAGACCTTGCCTATAGATGAGAGCCAATAGCATGTTACCCAGTCATTTTTTTATTATTTATTTTTTTAGAAAAAAGAATATGTAGCATCATCTACAACCAGATCCAGTAAAACTTTTTTGCATGGAATATTCTGTATGGGTTGTCTCCACATGTAGCCGTTAAGCACTTGAACAATGGTCTAGTACAAATGAGGAACTGAATAGTTTATCTCGTTTTAACTAATTTAAATAGTTTCATGTGGGTCAGCTAGATCAGACTGCATGTCATTATTGTTAAGTGCCATGGAGTTGGTTCTATCTCATCGGGTCCCTGATTGGGTTTCCAGGAAGTGGCTGGTGGGTCTGAACTTCCCACCTTGCAGTTAGTAGTCCAGTGCTTATCATCCAGTGCCACACCAGGACTCCATTCCAAACACTGAACGTTAAAAAAACAACAACAAAAGCTTAACCAGCTGTGGTAATGCAGAATGCAAATGAACTTTGCGATTTGTTTTCACTATGTTTACTGATACTTTATCTGGGTGCCCTCAGCAATTATCTTTAGAATCTGAAGATTGCGCACAGTAGTGATATAAGGGATATACACTCTCCTACTTTAAGGAATAGAGGCCTATTCGTGTGGTGCTGTAGGGTAAACACTGGACTGCTAACCACAAGGTTTGGAGGTTCTAACACACCAACAGCTCCTTAGAAACCCTATATAGGGTCACTATGAGTCAGAACTGAGTTGGTGGCACTTAACAACTTTGATGATTAATGCCTCCTTGGTAAAGTTGGAATCCTGGTCTGGCACTGAAGGATTAACACTGGATGCAAGGTTGGTTTAAACCACAAGGTCAGCAGTTTGAACTCACCAGTTGCTCCTCAGAAACCCTATACAGGATCTCTGGTTTGAAATTGATTTGCTGGCACTTAACAACAACTTGGTAACTTTTTTTTTTTTTTTTTTAACTGCCCTTTCAAACTGTTTACTCTTGCTTTAATTTTCTCTCTCTATAGTGTCATCTCTGTCTGCCAAACTCTATTTATTTTTGGTGTGTTTGCTTATTGTCTATCCTCACCCTTGAGAATGTAAATGGCATGAGGGCTGGAATTTTGTCTGCTTGGTTCACTGCTGAATTCTCGCACCATGTGGAGGTTCAATGAATATTTTAGTAGTTAATAAGTGAATGAACTAATGGCTCCTCCCTTCCTTTGTTAGTGGTGAATTCCACCTTATAGTGTCCTTACATGACACGTAGTCTATGGGACCAGATCCCTAGATCTTTATCTGGCAGAGGTGTGGTGGGTTCAAACCTCAGACCTTTCAGTTTGCAGCTGAGTACTTAACCATTGTACCTCCCAGGCCTCCTTTATCAGTTCCTGTTCTTATTCTTTTGTTATTTCATGATCTACACACACACACACACACACACACACACACACACACACACGACGCAGAAGCACACTGCGATGGATTTGCGTCTAATTAGAGCCTCTGTGTTTTGCTCTTGCTATTTTAGCAGACAGATGATGCAGCACCGACAGATGGCCAGCCACAGACACAACCTTCCGAAAACACGGAAAACAAGTCTCAGCCCAAGAGGCTGCACGTCTCAAATATCCCCTTCAGGTTCCGGGATCCGGACCTTCGACAAATGTTTGGCGTAAGTACCGCCTTTCTCCGTTGCTTCTCCTATTCTGCCAGTCCCCAGAGTCCTCCTTGCTTCCTGTAAGGACTTTTTATATGACGAGGCTATAAGGTTTACATTGGAAGACTAAGCATGCTAGACCCTGGCCTGTGGGTGTATGGGGCTAGGACTTGTGTTTGGCTTTAGTGTAAATTTCTCTGCATAAGCTCACCGTGTTACCACTTTGCTACCTGGTTCCCTTTTTAATAACATGAATTAATTACCCCACTAGGAAAATATGCCTACTGGTTATCCCAAATCCGGTGGTCTGGGATCCTATGTCATGGCTAAAATATAATATTCTGAATTACCCTGGTTCTTCTGTCTACTGCAGTTGATAACTTATTCAGATAAGTGACTCATGGGATATCTGTGTCTATTCCACTCTTTCCCAGGCACTGAGCATTTTGATTTTAGATGTCATTGCAGAGAATAAATAGTTCTGGATGCACTATCATGAGAAAAGGAAGAAGGAGGGAGAGAGTTGGGAAGGGAAGATGGAAGGGACAAAGAAAGAGAGAGCAAGCTAGAGATTCCCAAGTCTGCCTTGAATCGTGCAGCATCCTGGAGTCATTGAGGAAGGCTCTGAAGTGGTCTTGTGATTCCATCTACCACAAATGATTGCCTTGAGCATTGCCCTGTGACATGTAGAGCCAGCCAGAAGCCCCCTCCAACCAAGAGAAAACCAATGATAGAGCTGTTTCCTCCCTCACTTGGAATGATCATGAGCCCGGTTCCTTCTGTGGGATGTTTCCACCTGACCCATAGTGAGAATGGAGGTGTTTGCTGTTCCTTTGGGCTCAGTTCTGTCAAGTGACTAAGTTTTCACAGGGCTTGGATAGTATTCCTTTTGCAAATGTGTTGTTCGTATTGTTCAGTGCCAAGTCAGCTCCTAATTCATTGCTGTTAAATGCTGTCAAGTTGATTCCAACTCGTAGCGAGCGACCCTGTTTTGGTTTTCCAAGGATAGTGAGTTTGAACTACTGACCTGTGGTTATAAGTCCAGTGCTTATCCTACAGCACTCAAACCCAATGGTCTTAGACTATCTCATGGCTAAATACACATTATACAGCATTGTGGTTCTTCCTAACAACCCTATGTCGACCAGAAGAAAGTTATGCCGAGTCTTGTTCTGTCCTCATGATCTCTTTCAGCCTATGTTGCTGCCTCTGTGCCAATCCATCTCCCAGAAGATCGTCCTCCTACTCATTCTCTCTGCTTTACCAAGCCAGCCAACTTGGAGTATTCATCTTCCATCACTCTATCAGATAGCGTTCTTTTGTTTCCTGTAAAGTTTTCATTGGCTAATTTTATTATTTTAGAAGTAGACCACCAGGTCTTTCTTCCTAGTCTTAATCTGGAAGTTCTGATGAAAATCTGTCCACCATGGATGACTCAGTTGGTGTTTAAAATGCCAGTGGTATAAGGTTCCAACATGATAACAACATACAAGCCACTACTGTATTGATGGTGGTGATTTATAATTCTGAGTATGGAATCAGTTCCAACTTACAGCCACCCCTATGCACAACAGAATGAAACACTGCCCGATTGTGTGCCCTCCTCACAGTTGTTGTTAACCTGAGCCTCTGGTTTTTGCCATGTGTCAGTCCATCTCCTTGGAGGTCTTCCTCTTTTTCTCTGACCCTCCACTTTCCCTAGCATGATGTCCTTCTCCAGAGACTGGTCCCTTCTGATAACATGTCCAAGTCTGAGATACAAAGTCTCACCATCCTCATGTCTAAGAAGCACTCTGGCTGTACTTCTTCCAACACAGATTTGTTGGTTCTTCTGGCAGTCCATGGTACTTTCAATATTCTTCTCCAACACCATAATTCAAATGCATCAATTTTTCTACAACCTTCTTTATTCACTGAAATATGAGTGTAGTCTATAAGATCCCTGTTTGTCTTTTTGTCCATAACACTCATGGGAAGTGTCTGGAGATCCACTGACAAGAATTGAATCCTCCACTTCGACTTGGAACAAATGTTGCCTGCTCAGAGAACGTGTTCTCTTAAAGGTTTGTGGATGACTGCAAATATTTCAGAAAGAAAAAGAAGAGGACCAGCAATTGTGCCCTTTTCTTATACAAATCTGGTCTAATTTCCCAAGGAGTTCACTTTCTTTGCTGCAGCGCTCCTAAGTGTTGAGGTGAGCCTGTACCTTTTCTTCCTTTAACACGCATGATGTTTATCAAGCATGCATCTGACACAAAGGCAGCCGCCCTGTCCTAATATTTAAGATACCCAGACGTGAATCCTGACATTTCTGAGGAAAAGGTCATCGTTTGCACTTTTATCTCTCTCATTTGGTAATAACCTTGAGTTGAGCCCTCTAACTCTTAGCGAGCTGAAGATACCCTCGGGCAATTTCAGGTCAAAGATGACTTTGAAAAGTGCAGAGCATTCCAAGTTAAAGTTGAGGTTAAGCGTGTGTAAGGCAGTACGCCTGGGTTGGAATGATGAGCAGCCAGAGCAATGCTGTGCTTTTGCCACGTCAGGTTAGAAAGATGGCTTGCTGCTCAGTGGTCCTTTAATCATTTAGGTAGCATGTCATCTGGATGTTAATTTCAAGTTTGAGCCTCTTATTGACCATCCTGGGGCTTGTTCACAGTGTCACTCAAAATATCATACACCTGAGTTCCCAACCTAATGGGTCCTTTCCTCTCACTGGCATTTTGTTGTCTTTAAAGTTCCCTAAGTGTTACAGAGAGTTAGAGAAGTACTCAAACTGTTCACAAGTAGAACTCACAGAAAAGGGTGAGAACCTCTCTACAATCATTCTTGTAACAGGTGAAATGGACTAACTTCTCTCTCAGAAGATCCTACCCCCTTGCTCAATTCTTGGTCAGAATCCACTGGCTTCAGAATCCACCTTTTGCAGAGAGCCAGCATTTTTGAGCAATTGACAGTGTGTTGTATATTTCATATCTTTCCATGAAGAAAATGCAGTACACTCAGCCACATTAAAATGAACTGGGTTCATGTCAAATAATCTCTGTGGTCACTTAAGAAACAGTGTTGAGAACTTTGTGAGTATGGGTTTAATCCATAAAAATTATCAGGTACAAATGGATTCCTGGATTTATTGTGCAAATACTGAAGTTTCGTGGATTACAACCACCAACTAAAGAAATGGAAATTAAACACCCCAAGTCTGTTCTTGCTGGCCAAGCGTCAGTGGTGGCAAACACATACTACTCATGAGGCACATTCAATAGCATGAATTACATGAGAAGAGTGTAAGCATTCCAGTCAAATTTAGAGGATTATGCATTGCTTCCACTTTTAGATCATAGTTACTGTAAGAAAGTACATTTTTATCCCAACCAGGTATTTCTCAAATCTTTGGACATAAGGCATCTGTCGTTGCTCCATTTGGTGCAACATTCTGTCCTTGTCAAATTACATCGGCAAGGGTTACAACAAGGACAATGACAGGATACGACACCCACAAAGATCTTTGATACTTTTTCTTCTGTCTCTTCTCTTAAATATGGCCATGGGGATTTCAGAGTTAAAAAATATCACCAACAGCAACAACAGCAAAAAGCAACCACTCTTGTTGTTTTGTATAATAAAAACCTGGCAGTATTCTTGCCTGCTTGTACAATCAAGGATTCTCTGATGAGATTTAGACATCTACTAGACACTGGGTTGTCACACATTCTTCTTTATTGCAACTCTAGGTACATTTCTTCAAACACACATTCTATGTTCTTGACTCCTTCCTTCTTTTTTGAAGCATTTTTTTTTTCAATGTTGGGCATCCAGGCTTCTAGCTGATTTTCGACTTCCTTTCTTGTTTTATTTTAAGATGGATCATAACTTGAGCAAGAAGTTATATAACTCAATATGCAGAGCACAGTCCAGAGTATTTAGGAAATGCATGATTGCATATATTTCTGAGGTCGCCAGGGGTTTTCTGAGCTCTGAAGTTGTGCTAGAAGATACATTGGTGCTAGCTCCACGGCATTCTTGTTGAGACCTGTCTCAATGGCAGAGTCCTCCATGAGTATCCAGTTTCATCTGAGTTTGCAGTCTTGATGAGACTATACACTGAATGTGTGAATTTCCACCAAATTCATTTCAATGCCTCCCCCCGGAGCAGAAAGTTAATGTCACCAAATATTTTAAATGTCAACATTCCCGGGTCTAGAAGGGGAGTTTTGTGAGACACTATTGAGTCGATTTCCATTTATGGTGACCCCCTGTGTGCAGGGTAGAACTGCTCTCTAGCTTTCTCAAAACTACGGATAGGTTTGAACTACCAACCTTTTAGCAAGTAGTTGTTACTAGATGCCATCGAGTCGGTACTGACTCATGGTGACCCTATGCACAACAGAACAAAACACTGCCCGATCCTGGGTCAACCTCACAATTGTTGCCACGTTTGAGCCCATTGATGCTGCCACTTGGCCAATCCATCTCGCTGGAGGTCTTCCTCTTTTCTCTGACCCTCCACCTTACCAAACATGATATCCTTCTCCAGTGAATGGTTCCTCCTCACAATATGTCTGAAGTATGAGAGACTAAGTTTGGCCATCCTGGTCTCCAAGGAGCACTCTAGCTGCACTTCTTCCAACACAGATCTGTTGGTTCTTTTGGCAGCCTATGGCACTTTCAGTATTCTCCTCCAACACCGTAACTCAAAAGCATTAGTTCTTCCATGGTCTTCCGTATTCACTGTTCAGCTTTTGTATGTATATGAGGTTATTGAAAATATCATGGCTTGTTCTGG